CGCTTATACTACTCTCACTCCTCCATGGCACTTGATCCAACCGCTGCTGTTTTCGAGGTCCGTGTTTTCTCTTCTCCTATTTTTGTATTGTTTATGGACTTTTGATCTTGAATTCTGTTCGTTATATCCATGTGTTTCATTGAAATCAGCTTTGAATGAAATTTCATAAGCATGATTAGTTTCAAAGCACAAAATTATCCATAATCCAAAAACTTCTAGAAACACTAAGTTTTCTCCTGTAAAACTATATATTTTTTTAAGAGAAGTATTTGAAATTTGATAATAATATTGTAAACTCTTTGAAAAATCGAAATTCGGGTGAAAAATTCACGAGGAGTTTTTATCGTTGTCTGGCTGATGTTTCATTAAAGAAATGTCAACATACTGAGCACTAAGCATACTGTAGGCCTTTCAACTGCCTCTAAGGTTCGCTATTATGAATGATAACTCATTGCTGAAACTTGTTTAGAGCAGCTCCGAGGTCAATCGCATCATCTCAGGTCTTTCCGTCAGAGGTCGGAAAAACAACCTTGAATGTATTAACATCACCGAATGTTAAAAATTTATACATTTCCTGTTTATTCAAATATAGGATACACGGAGTTAGAAGTGCCTTGTATATTATATTTTAGGTAATATCATTACACTGAATAAAGTTAAACTCCTATTACACAGATGAAAGGTCCCCAGGCATTTATTTCAAAGATCGTGAAAAGGGGGAGTTGTCGTGGCGGCTTCCATATACATTCGAGGTCGTTTTTCCGCTAGTCGGAAAGGCCCGAGAAGTTGCGATTGGCGCCGAGGTATCTCACTGTTTCTACGCAAGTCAGTTTTTAGCATTTACTATGGAACGCCGTAACTGCCTTATGTGGAGAACTTTCCTTATATGCTGGTACTTCGTCATGATATGCTCGTACTTTGTCAGTATATGATGGTACTTTGTCATTATATGCTGGTACTTTGTCATTATATGCTGGTACTTTGTCATTATATGATGGTATTTTGTCATTATATGTTGGTACTTTGTCATTATATGCTGGTACTTTGTCATTATATGCTGGTACTTTGTCATTATATGATGGTACTTTGTCATTATATGCTACTACTTTGTCATTATATGCTACTACTTTATGATTATATGATGATACTTTGTCATTATATGACGATACTTCAACATTATATGAAGATAATTTTTAAATAGGTATAACATCGGGATCGGGATACCGTTAACTAGTAAACTAGTTTAAGGAGGCTCATTACACCACTTTTTGATGACGTACTACACAAAAAAAATCCTCGATTGTGTCGACCGTTTTCTAAAACATTTCACTAAAATTAGACAAAAACTAAAAAAATCTGTAAAAAATATTTATGATATCAATACCGCCATCTGGATATTTGACATCTACATTATATATAAGTGGTGCTGTATTGAAATGTAAAATAAACTGTGGATGTAATGAGCCACCTTAAGGGAAAAAATGGCGCAAAATTGTGAAAACGCGATCACATTGAAAAGCATCCTCGAGGAACTAATGATGGGTCCGCAGGTGATCGATAGATTTGTAGAAGAGAGAATAGATGTTGATAGTATTTTAAGCTTGAGCGATGAATAATTGAGCAGTTCTTAGTAACACAAATAAGAATTGGTCATTTACTCGTAAATATATATATATATATATATATATATATATATATATATATATATATATATATATATATATATATATATATATAGGAAGCGTTAAGGTGCACACACAAAAAACATGACATTATATTTTCGTCTTCATAACAATCGTCAAAGAGAGTTAAAAATACTGAATATAGTCTTTTCTCCATTCATTTGACCATGTTATTTTAGGTAGAGTGAAGACATTCTCATTCTTTTGGTAAACACTTTTTGTGTACAAAACAATGTAAGGAACCCTTTTGTGTACATAACAATACCAATGCCGAAGCAGCCTATCTGTCATTCCTATAAATGATAACCCATAAATCGGCACTTTCACACCTGAGTTACCTGTCCTTAAAACATCATCGTACAAGTCAATTACAAATAATTAAACTTTTTAATCATTTAATTAAATGTATGCATAAGTTATAATTATTATCTTTTTTGATAATTTCATGTACTTATAAATCAATCTATGAATTTTTTTTACCATATGTATAACTTGTACAACTAGTTGAAAGGCCTACATACTTAAGGGCAGAACTTATCGTCGGAAACCCACGGTCGGTCTCGCCTCTAAAGAAGTTGCTTTTATGTTGGGTTTCCGACGATGAGCAGAACTATGCTTAACGTTTCCCAGTACTTTCAGTACTTTGATTATGGAGAACCAGCCACTACATCAGAAGTAGACGCTCGGCTGTCTCCGTAAATCTCCGACCATCTCTGCTGGTCGGAGATTTACGGGTACAGCCGAGCGTCTGGTTAAACGAGACTACATGAAAATAGCCTAGTACCCGAGGCCTTCCGAGTGCAAGCACGAAGGCTAGACTGGCTTGTCTGTCTGATCCTCGATATACAGTCGTTGCCCATGGCATCCGGTTTAACCTCGCTTATATACTTACTTCACTTCCGGTGAAATGGCGGCGCCCATGAATAGAAAAGCGTGCTGAAGAAATGCAAGATTGTCGCTGTTAACGGCATAAATAAGCTCTGTGTGAAGTAAATGTAAGTGATTTCTGATCCACAGACCCAGCATAGATAAACTCTAGTTATCCTTGTATGAAGCATAGCTGGGAAAGAGATTATGATGTCAACCACGAGGCAAACAAGGTTTCCGTCAAGGTACAATGACTGTGTTACGGGACAAGAAATTGATCGTTTCATGGATGACGATTCAACTGAACCCAAAGTACATACACAGATCGATGGAAAGACAAACAATATCACTTTTAAAACACAATATTGTGATCTCTGGCAAGCAGCCATGCGTGAACATTTTGAAAAGGTTGAAACTTCAGAAACTGGAAACAAAACAGTCTTTAAAATTTTCTACGATGGGAGTAAATTCGTTAAAGTTAACTTCTACACAACAGGCAGTGTAAACATACAGGGGGCAACATGTCGCATTTTTTATGACTCATATTTTGAGGTCTTAGAGAGCAAAGTTCAAACTATGATCTCTTCGAAAAGTGAGGAGTACAGCAGCCCAAAGCAGATTATTAATATTGACGATGAGCTGTCAACCAGTGATTCAGAGACCAATCCAAAACAACTTGCTCAAGATCTCGAACTATCAACCAGTGATTCAGATACCAGTCGAAAACAACTTGCTCAAGTTCTCGAACTATCAACCAGTGATTCAGATACCAGTCCAAAACAACTTGCTCAAGATCTTGAACTATCAACCAGTGATCCAGATACCAGTCCAAAACAACTTGCTCAGGATCCCGAGAAGAGCCATGGTACATCTGACAACTCTAGAGAAAGTAAGATGAGTCATAAGGATCACATTGAGCCTAAAGATACTGAAACTGTGTGTGACAAGCATAGATGTTCTGCAAATGAAGAAATCTTAAGGAAAGTGGAAACAATAGAAATCACCCTCGTCAAGATCATTGACACTATTTCAAACCTGTGTGGAGACGTTGCGAAACAAAAATCTGTTGAGAAAATCATCAAGATTACACAACCATTGAAATGTCAGCCTGACACACATCAGAATGATTTTGAAATACAGAAGAATTTAGAACGCTCTGAGAATCGTGGCAAAGAATTACAGCATTTGCTAGAAAAGTCAGAACTGCGCTGTAAAGACCTACAGTATGAATGTGGTAACCACCTAATAAAACAGTCGCAACTTGAAAGCCAACTATCAGTTCTCCATGAGAAAATCAACTGTGCTGAAATACAACACAAACATTTATCAAAAGAGATGGACTCCATGCAGGAAGTGATCACAACAAAAAACGAGATTATTATGGATCAAGAAAGGCACATTAAAAACCTAAATAATGAGATATCAAAACTTCATGACTCTTTAATACATGAAAAAATTCATGCAAGTAGAATGGATGACTCCTTATTTGAGCAGAATGTAAATAACAGTCAGAATGATGCTGAACCACATCAGAGACGAGCTGTAAACAAACAAAATCGACCAGATCATAATGCTGAACTGCACCAAGGACGAGCTGTAAACATATCAAACAGACAAAATCTACCAGATGCTGAACCACGACAAGTTGACAACAAACCAAAGCAAGCTGTGAGAAGCCGACAGGAACAAGCAACTCGACACAGAAGAAAACAAGTTCTATTCGTCGGAACATCAAACATTAAATATGTTAGCTGTAGGTATGTAGCAGGGAAGAGATACTATGTCCATAAAGAGACCAGATACACCATTGATGATGCAACAGAGTATATACAGAACTATGACGGAGAGATGAAACCAGAAATCATTGTGTATCATCTACTATGCAACGATGTTGAAAAATCCTCAAATCCTCAGCTATTGAAAAAATGTCAACACTTAATCGACGTAACCAAAGCAAAATTTCCGTCCTGTCGACTTAAGATATCCCTTGGCTTACCCAGAGGAGATCGTGAATTCAACCTGCGAATAAATACTCTGAACATAGATCTTCAGAATCACTACAAGCGTGACAATTCCGTCTGAAGAATACTCGAATTGAATCAAGGTTTTACCAGTTTATTCATGTATACAGGTACATAACCACATGCTTCCACTCTGACGGTCCATGCACGCACTACTCATGCCGGATACACACTGACACCTGACCCACACTACGAACCATAACTCTAGCACACAAACTCTTACACACAAGTGACACAACACAAATTAGATACACTACAATACCCCCTTTTCTAAGAATAAACTTTTACACTTCTCAAAATAAATAAATTACTGAAAGAAATTATTATCCAAAATATTATATTTCCTTGCCGAGATTAGAAAACATTTACAATTTACAGTCTCAGATCTATATAGAAAACTTTCAGTCATTAACATTCACACAGAAATATTTCACAGTTCGAAGTCCTTAAGACGTTGCGGTAGTTTCCTTATACGGGTAGACCTTCTAACGCTCGGAGTTACTGGAGCCGCGGATGGAACATCATCACTATTAGCACTAGACTCAACACTCGGTTCACTAAGATCACTCGGATTCTCCGGAATATCGGACACACTTTCCGGTTCCTGATATTTTTTCACGAATTCACTATTTCGCTTCACTAACACTCCCTCTGGTGATTTAACAACACAGCTGTTTCCGGTTTTCTGTACGAGTGTATACGGTTCCACGTGATATGGTGTATCCATTTTGTCCTTGGTCGCCTTCTTCAAGAGGACTGAATCTCCTAGCTCCAAATCACACTCCTGTGCATCACGTTTTTCATCGATATAAATCTTGTTCCTGTATTTAGAATACGCATCCTTATCGCGCACTAAATAGAAAACCTCATCATAGTCGTTTTCTTGTAGATTTTCCACTTGCGGTAGCTTTGTTCTCAGCTTCCGACGGAACATCAACTCGGCAGGTGGTACTCCTGTCGTAGTATGAGGAGTCGTTCTGTATGCAAATAGATATTTGCGGATTTCGGTCTTCCAATTCTTAGACTCGGCTTGTGCAATCCGAATTCTTTTCATCAACGATCTGTTTTGTCGTTCTACCTCCCCATTTGCTGACGGATGTAACGGTGTAACTGCTCGATGCTTGATACAGTTATCTGTCAGGTAATCCTTGAATAACTTAGATCTGAACTGGGGTCCATTATCAGAAGTTATTTGTAATGGAAGTCCATGTCGACAAAACATTCCCTCCAGCAAATCAATGATTTTCTCACTTGTAATATCCTTGGTAACTTCAATCTCGTAGTATCTGCTGTAATAATCAACAACCACTAACACGTACTGTCCAGATGTTAATGGTCCAAGAATATCAATACCTAATTCTTGCCATGGCCCTGTTGGTAATGGAGTAGGACTAACTGGTTCCGGTTTCGGAAACGCACTGGTAATCTGACATCCGTGACACGATTTCACATACTTCTCCACTTCCTTGTCCATCCCAGGCCACCACACTTTAGTACGTAACTGCTGTTTCGTCCCAACGATTCCTAGATGACCCTGGTGAGCTAACTGTACACACTGCTTCCTCAGATTTCTTGGAATCACTATTCTGGATCCACGTAAAACCACGTATCCAATACAACAAAGTTCATCTCGGAATGGGTAATAATCAACACATGATTTCTCCCACTTTCCCTCTTTGATGAATTTTCGGATTCTGACAAGTTCTTCATCTCTCCTTGAAGCTTCTTCTACTTCTTGAGTCGACAGTGCCTGAGGGGTTGCCTCCCTTGCAATAAATTTCACATATTGCTCAGTGTCTTTTGAATAACTGTTTTCTACAGGTGTCTTATCCACCAAACGAGATAACGCATCTGCGATATTCTGATGTCCAGGTGAATAACGTACTTTGAAGTTGTAAGCCATAAGTTTTAATAACCATCGTTCAATTCTTGCATTTGGTCTGGATGTTCTTCCATAAATCACTTCTAGTGGCTTGTGATCTGTGACTAATTCAAAATCCACCCCGTAGAGATAGATATGGAACTTCTCGCATGCCCATACGACTGCCAAAGCTTCTTTCTCAATTGTCGAATAATTGCGTTCGGCCGCTGACAACGTACGACTGGCATAACTGATGACCCGTGTTTCACCTTTGTTGACTTGAAGTAAAACTGCTCCTAGGCCTACATTACTAGCATCTGTCACTAACTGAGTTTTTTCTGCATCTAATCTGTAATGTCCCAAAGTTTTCACATTTGACAAACAACTCTTTAAAGTGTCAAAGCTTTTCTTCTGTTCGGCTGACCAGACAAACTTCACATTTTTCTTTGTCAATCTCCTGAGCGGTTCTGCCACAGTAGCAAGATTTGGTATGTAACGAGCACTAAAGTTTACAAGTCCGAGGAAACTTTTCACTTCGGATCCATTTGTTGGTTCTTTAGCATTGAGTAACGACTTGATCCTTTCACTAGTTGGTCCAATACCATTCTTTGATAAGACGTGTCCCATGAACGTTATCTTGTTCATCCTAAATTCACACTTGTTTAGATTTAGTGTCAGACCTTTATCTTTGAGTCTCTGTAAGGCTTTGCGAAGTCGCTCATCATGTTCTGCTTTGTCACGACCATAGATTACGATATCGTCTGATATATTCTGCACTCCTTCACAGTCATGAAACACTTGCGAAATCACTTGCTGATATTTCTCTGGAGCTGATGAAATACCAAACATCAGTCTCTTATATCTGTAGAGACCTTTGTACGTAACGAATGTAGTGATCTCCCTTGACGACTCTTCCAGCTCAATTTGATGGTATCCACTTCTAAGGTCTAACTTACTAAACACCTGGCTACCATTCACCATGTAGAGTATGTCATCCACTGTCGGAATAGGATGCCGTTCACGAATAATGGCAGCATTGGCTTGTCTCATGTCGACGCACAATCTAATGTCACCATTGGGTTTCGGTACAATTATGACTGGACTGACCCACGGTGTAGGATCATTAACTCGTTCAATGATATCCTGAGACTCAAGTTCGTCCAACTGTTCTCCTACTTTATCTCGCAAACTGTATGGAATTCTGTACATGCTTTGAGCTACTGGCTTCACATTTTTGTCAATATGTAACTTCAACTTAAAGTCTTTGAGTTTTCCAATACCTCGAAAACACTCAGAATATTCATGAATAAAGTCAGTTGGTTGAACTGTGTTTACTCCGAGTTTCAAAACTCCCAAGTTCATAGCTGTGTCTTTGCCCAGTAACGCTGGTCCTGTACCATTTAGTACAAAGAACTCCTCTTCTCTACTATTTCCATTTTCATGAATTGATGTTTGCGCTCTGAATTTACCCAATAATTTCAACGGTTCTGTAGATCCGTAAGCAAAAAGTTTTTTTTCACACTTCTCTGAGTGACACTTGATACGGTTCTTCTTAAGATATTCCCAGAGTTCTTTATCAATAATGTTAGCTGATGCACCACTATCAATGACAAATTCTACAGGATTTCCTCCTAGACTGACTTTTACTTTGTCTGATGATGTATGTCCTGTTTTCAAACTAAACACGTATACTTCTGAGTCGGAATCCACTTCAGAATAATCCACTTTGTTAATTTTCCCACCTTTGGTTGGTTTGCCTTTTCCTGGTTTCTTTGTTAAACAACATTTAATAAAATGTCCAACTTTTCCGCACTTCCGACATTCCTTATTCCGAGCAGGACACGATACGTCCTTTGCAAAATGCCCCTCTCGTCCACAACGAAAACACTTCTTGTCCTGAAATCTGTGTTTCTGTTTGTCAGTTTTTTCACGATGTCCCTGAATTCTGTTTACTGACGCCACAATTTCAGTGTCCATATGCCTAGCCTGTGTTTCAGTCATCTCAAATGTAGCTGCTATAGTCCTCAATTGCTCTAAAGTCAAGTCTTTTCCTTTCTCTAACAACTTGGCTCTTATCTTGTGAGACCTGCACTTTTCAATCACTTGATCCCGAATTTGCTCATCCTGATTTGTGAAGTCACAATACACAGCCTGTTGTCGTAATTTTGTAATAAACTGTTCTACTGTTTCACTCTCGGTTTGCAGAATTTTCCTAAAAACATATCGTTCATACGGAACGTTAACTTTATTCTCAAAATGTTTATCTAACGTTTTTACAGCTAACGTATACACATTGTCATTGTCACCTGCTTGTTCAACATTCAATGTATAAAAAATGTCTTGAACTTCGGGTCCAGCACAGTGCAAAAGTAATGCTTTTTTTTGTTCAGCGTCACTCACCCCTTTTCCAACAGCGAAAAGCTCAAAACTTCGGTGCCACCTTTTCCATGCTTGATTTAATTGTGACGGTTCAGCATTTGGATCAAATTTCCCAACTCCGTTGAGTTCTATTAGTGTAGCCATCTTGTAGTTTTCGTTATCCTCGTCGCCAGTGAAGAATACTCGAATTGAATCAAGGTTTTACCAGTTTATTCATGTATACAGGTACATAACCACATGCTTCCACTCTGACGGTCCATGCACGCACTACTCATGCCGGATACACACTGACACCTGACCCACACTACGAACCATAACTCTAGCACACAAACTCTTACACACAAGTGACACAACACAAATTAGATACACTACACCGTCGTTCTTTGTGACAACAGCAATTTATTCTACAGAGGCATGCCACTCAGAGGCATCTTGCGTGACCAGAAGCACTTGTCCAAACAAGGTGTTTTCCTTTTCTCCGAGAATCTCCGAGAAGAACTTGATTGTCTAGAATAATGCGAAAACTTTTAAAGATTGGAAGTTGGAATATAAATCAACTGAAATCTTCAGTTCACAATAAATCGAGAGATAAATATTTCCTTGCAGAGATTAGTAGATATGATATATTTGGTATATTAGAAACAAAACATAGTAAAGATGACCACTTTGACTTCGGTCAAGATTTTAGCTCTATTTATTACCCGCCCTAAAGAAGAAAAATATCCTATATAGGGGGGATCATAATTTTGTTGAAAAACTCTATTAAGCCAGGAATCAAAATTATCAAAAATACCAGTAGTGAAATACAGTGGATTAGATTAGCTAAGGAATTCTTTGGCTTTGAAAAGGATCTTTACATTTGTTTCACATACTTTGCCCCTTCTAATTCATCATATGTCATAAGAAACAATTTGGATGTCTTACAAATATTAGAACATAATGTCACAGAATATAGCCAAATTGGGAATATTATAATATGTGGCGATTTTAATGCAAGGACCGGGACTGAAATAGAAAACACAGATTTTGATTCTTATGTTCCAACTTCATTTGACCATGTTGATTATCATTTGCCTGTTAGATCTAGTCATGATTCTTTTGTTAATAAGAGGGGAAGAGATCTTATTGATTTTTGTATATCCCATGATTTGCATTTTTTGAATGGGAGAACTGTTGGAGATTTAAGTGGAAAGTTTACGTGTTTTCAATACAATGGTAATAGTATCGTTGACTATTGTATAATATCAAATTCACTGTCAAACAACATTTTGTATTTTATGATTCATGATCATATACCAATTCTCTCAGACCATGCAAAATTAACATGCCAGATTAAAGCCAATTTTCAGGAGTTTGGCAAAGAAAATCATGTATCGAACTCGAACATATTAATTCCATCCTCTTATATATGGAATAAAGAATCTATTATACATTTTCAAGCCGCGCTGAATAATAATGAAGTGCAAACAATGATAAAAGAATATTTGGAAGATGATTTAAACATAATTAATTATAAATCTGTCCATCCTTCAAACAGCTCTTGTAACGAGCATAAATCTGGAAGTGATCATGCATTAATGAGATTTAATGATATTATTAAAACAGCATGCAACAAATCGTTAAAGACATCCCTTAAGGTTAAAGTAGGTGTGAAAAAAGACAAAATTTATAAAAATAAAAAATGGTTTGACTATGATTTACACAAGATGAAGTTAGAATTATTAAATAAAAGTAAATTGTATTCTAAATATCCTTTTGATCCGATTATAAGAGTTCTTTCTTCAAGTATCGTAAACATTATAATAAACAATGCAAATATAAACAAAGAGAATTTAAAGCAAGTATTATGAAAAATTTAGAGACATTGCATGCGAAGGATCCAAATTCATACTGGAAATTAATCAAAGAATTAAAAGAAGACAATGACGAACAAGACCCTTCAACAAGAATATCTCATGATAAATGGATATCTCATTTTTCAAACCTACTTTCAATAGATCAGAGGTTTACTCCACAAGACTTATACTTTAGAAATCTTTGTGATCAAAGTCAAAAGAGTAAAACCTTTTCACTCCTTGATTGTAGAATTACAGAAAAAGAGATAATTGATGCAGTAACTAAACTTAAAAATAACAAGTCAGCTGGCCTTGATGGAATTAAAAATGAAATGATTAAAGCTGGATTATCCCAAATAGTAGGATGTTTGTTAAAACTATTTAATATAATTCTTTCTACAGGAGTTTATCCCTCTGATTGGAAAATTGGGTACTTAAAACCATTATATAAATGTGATGATCCATGTGACACCTCAAATTACAGAGGATTAGCAATTATGTCTTGTCTCTCCAAAGTGTTCAATAGTATATTAAATGCAAGACTTCAAACTTACCTAGATGACCATAAAATTATCAATAAATGCCAAATAGGATTTCAACCCAAGGCTAGAACATCTGATCATATGTTTGTACTGAAAACACTAATTCAAAAATATAACTCCTCTAACTCAAAATTGTACACCTGTTTTATTGACTTTTCAAAAGCGTTTGATACAGTACTTCACTCGGCCTTATTATATAGACTATCTCAGATTGATATTAAAGGTCCTTTTTACTATGTCATTAAGAGCATGTATACCTCGAATAATTTACATATTCGAATTGGTAATAAACTTACTAAAAGCTTCATCCCTGAATTAGGGGTAAGGCAGGGGGATAATTTGAGTCCAAACTTGTTTAAAATCCTTATTAATGAACTACCAGATATGTTTAACAGTGAAGATGATCAAGTATATTTGAATAATGAACCTCTTAGTTGTCTTCTCTATGCTGATGATCTTGTTTTATTATCATCTTCTCCAAAAGGCCTACAGAATTGTTTGAACAAGCTGGCCACTTTTTGTTATAAATTTTGTCTTACTGTAAATTTGAAAAAACAAAAGTTGTAATCTTTTACAAAAATGCACGACTCACAAATTTACATTTTATATATAAAGGTCATGAAATTGAGTGTACATTGTCATATAAGTATCTAGGGGTTTTATTCAATGCATCTGGTTCATTTGCTCAATGTCAGTATGATTTATATAAGCGTGGTTTGAGGGCTTTCTTTAAATTGGTAAAATGTTTTGGTAATACCAAACCAAATGCAAATATCTTGTTACATCTTTTTGATCATACTGTAAAACCTGTTGTTTTATATGGAAGTGAGATCTGGGGCACTATAAACACAGAATCTGCAGTTGTTAAAAGGACAAATTATGAAATAGAAAATTCCTTTAAAAATTTATTTAGTGATAAACTACATATCAAAGCTCTAAAATATATTTGTGGGGTTCACAAGAAAGCTTCTAACCATGCTGTTATGGGTGAATTAGGCAGACATCCATTGTATATTGAAATCTTGTATAATTGTATCAAATATTTGCAACATATTTATAAATCAGATAGTACTTTACTAGCAAGTGCACTACAAGAAAATATAATATTGAATAATAATAGAAAGAGCTGTTGGTTGAGTAGTATTCATTTTATGCTGGAACAATTAGGAATATCCTGTGACAACATCTTGGCTAAAAACCTTCCATCAATAGTTTATAATGAACTAAATAGAAGATTTACTAATATATGGCAAAATAATTTATCAGAGTGTGTTAGAAATGAAAAAGGCAAACTTCGAACATATGGATTATACAAAACAAGACTAATAAAAGAAAAATATTTTTCTATGATATCAAAACCAGAAGGTTCTTAAATGTTTTACAAACTTCCGCATTAGTTCACATAAGCTTGAAATTGAAACTGGCAGAGACAGAAATGTGCCTGCCATGGATCGAAAGTGTAAACTTTGTGCTTCAGACTCTGTAGAAGATGAAATCCATTTTATATTTGAATGTTCAACTTATAAACTATATAGGCAAGTATTCATTAATCATATAAGTGAAGAAAATAAAAATTTCTCCTCACTTTCAAATAGAAATAAATTTATATGGCTAATGTCAAATGAAAGTAGTGATATAATAAATAGTTTTGCAGAATATATATTTAAATGTTACAATAAAAGATCCAATGTTGTCTCAGGATGTTCCTGAAAGTTGAGAATGATAATTTATAATATGCAGACAAGGTAGATATCCAATAAAATTTCTGCATGATGTGGCATAATGTTTGCGTTTGTGTACTTTTATCATATATTATACATATTCATTGTTGCATATGAATTCAACTATCATTTGGATCTCTTCCTCTCTTTAGCTTTATATTTTATTTATCATTGTTTATGTTGTATTTTTCTTGAATGCCCTTCATGGGCCCAAAATTGGAAATAAATGATATTCTATTCTATTCTATTCTACTTACTGCGTGGACCTCAGGGTCCACGCAATTATTTATTTTTGCATTTAGATATAAATATTGTTGAATATTCAGAATAAATGAAATAAATGCTGCTGAATGTGTTTTGTGTTCATTACAAACATTCAATTATTGTATCGAAAAAAAACTTGTACTTTATTCATTACATCTAAGCAAATTATTCTAAAATACAAATGTATAAGATTTTCCCAATCGGAAAATTTCAGAAAGTTATATTCTTTTTAAGTCAATCAGGCACTTAGTTACAGAGGGGCCGGGGGGGGGGGTTGTTCCCCCTACTATTTTCCAGACATAACTTTTTACTATATTGAAATGTTCATTGAAAGGCCGGTCCCCCCCCCCACACACACACACATACTTTCAAAATCGATGCTAAATCACTATAGATGAATTAATTTATTACTATTTTATCATAATTAAGTCCATTTGGGTCGCCAATTAAGGTCAGACGAGACGTTCCTCAAAATCTGTTTTGTATATCTTTGTAATGTATGAAAAATATTCAAAATTTTGATAACATTCTGATTTCTAAATCAGTTTCTAAACGTTTTTAAAAAATCCAAACACTTTAAAATTTGAAATTGGAAAATTATTTTTCTTCCCCAAAGGATTATATAAGAAAAACTACCCCTGATATCTTTCAGAAATGCCTGGTAAGGTACCTCAATTTTTTGTGAGTAAACATGTTAAAGTAGCTATACTTCTATGACAAACTCTTAGAAAAATTTATCTATTATTAAGGAACGTCTCGTCTGTCCTTAAGTCCATTTGGGT